AGAAAAAGAGAGGGAGGGACAGGAAAAAGCAAGAAAGAGAAAGAAGGAGAGAGAGGAAAGGGGAGAGAGAAGAGAAGGGGAGAGAGGGAGAGGAAAAAAGGGAGAGAAAAGAGGGAGAGGGAGAGAAAGAAAGGGAGGGAGGGAGAGAGAGAAAAGGAGAGGGAGAGGAGGGAGAGAGAGAGAGAACTCATGCACAGCAGCCTCTATTTTTTTAAATTAAACTCTTCAATCAAGCTTCTCCCCCTCATGTGTGCATGTGTGCAGAAGTTTTGCATCTCCCAGTGTTTTCTTTTCTCTGGGGAATAGGTCCAAGTGACTCTTTGTGTTTAAGGTTGCAGACCCCTGACCTAGAGTATATACTAGAGTATAGTATGTCATATCTCAGCTACAGATCTAGCCAGTGGAACTCCATTTAAACTTACACAATATATTTATGGCTCTTGGGCCATTAAATATATACAAAAATGGCATACCTATACAAAATCTACCAAGGAGTTCTGGTTTCCTCAGCAACACTTCTGATCTCAGAATTTTGCAACTTCTGTGCTTCCACTTGAAGGTGTACATCCAAGTGCATATACTTACAGCTTTACTCTTTGGAAGGTGAAGGGTAAGTAGATTTATAATCGGCAGCAGCTTATAACACAGCTCCTTCTCCCCGGGGGACTTTCAATCTCCATTTCCTACTCAAATCCAGTTCAAATGACTACAAGATGGAGCTGCACTCAGGAATACTGCCGCTGTTATGTGCAAGATATGTAGCTGACTCCTAAGGGATCTGGCAACATCCAAACTGATACCCAAGGCTCCACATTTGATTTGTATCATGCAGAAAGAATCTCTTGCAAAAAACAGGGGAGAGTCAATATTTGTTTGTCTAGTATGCTTCTTTTATCCTTCAAGACAATTAATGTCTGTATTCCTCTTGACTTCTGCACAAAGGAGAAGTTATTCTCTCAGTCACTAGATCTTAGGCTTCTAAGTTTTGCAGAACACCCAAAAGGAATGTTACATTGATCATCAATAAGCAGTTTCAACTTCAACAGAAATTTTCAGAGGTCCATAGCCAGATCTTATTCCATGCAGTACAGCTCCTGTTTATGAACATTGTACTCGGGACTACATACAATACACTATCTTTAGCATCTATCTAAATTAAAAAATAAATTTCATCCCCTCACCTGAAAAGTGGTGCTGGAAGTCATGTAAAACTTCATACAGAACATGGAGACACTCTGTATCTATTTCTTTCTCAGAACTAAAGGGAAAGTAGAGTTTATATACCATTCTGATAGATCCCCCCCCCAAAAAATGGGCTTTATTATTTGTTGATAACTATCTGTACTTTCCCAGGATAACATCTTATCCATCACTGTGTGGATGGCACTGTAGCAAAGAACCTGTTAACTTTATTTTTATTTTATTTTTTTACTAAGTGGGACTTGCTCCTCTGGTAGGATTCCAGTATGAATGCTCATTTCAGCAGTCAGATGACCATAATATTTACAAAACTATGATTATAAAGTTACAGATCCACATCCCAAATACACAAAGTTCTGTCTGTATAAAAAGGTGGAACCGAGACATTAAAATGCTGGTTTCTTAGCCAAATGTCATCCCACATAGGGAAATTTTCATGGGCAAAACTATTCCTAACAGAAAACATGATCTTTCCTTTTTAAAATTGTGAATGGTTGGCCAATGGTAGGACAAACCAGCCCCAATTGGCTTATTGTGAAAGAAAACCTTGCTAGCCTGGGGAAAGATCTAGTAAAGCACTCTCTGTCCCTTACTAAATGACTTCTATTTCCTCCATGATGAAACTAGCATCCTCAACTCCTAACTCAGCAATATCCTCCTACATGAAAACTGGAGAAACATTTGTCTCTCATCATAGGGGACAGGACCACACCATAAAATGTTGGAATAGTTCACATTGCTCTGAAATGCAAGGGTTAAACTACCTGGACACAAACATCTCATTGCTGGAAAGTAACTCCTTCAGAGGATCTGCTATCTAATAAGTAGTTATTATCTCTCCTCCATAAGAAAAGTGAAGAAAGACTAGCTGAAATATGATCAAGTTAACAATAATAATCATTATTGGACAATTTGAACTTAAGCAAGTGTACCTGAAAATCTCTGTTCCAGCATTATACTGTTTCTGCCCTAAAATTCTTTCACATCTACTTGTATTAAATGACTGTTGACTGGAATTCTTTCACATATACTTGTATTAAATGACTGTTGGCTTTGTACTCTTGATCATTTGCAATTGGCAGGAGATACATTTGGGAGTAAAATCTGCTGATTATTATAGATAACCCTTGCTTACCAACAGCCTCGTGCAGTGACATTTGAAGTTATGATGGTGCTAAACAAGTAATTTTGTGACCAATCCTTGCATTTATGACCACTGCAGCATCCTATAGACACCTGATCACTATTTGTATGCTTCATAACCAGCTTGCAATGAGCAGTTAATACAGAAGGCAGAAATAAAATTATACGTGATCACAATTTTGCACTTAGCAAACACTGTTTATAACCCTAGCTCTTAACAACCCTAACCCCTAACCCTAAGTTGTAAGCCTGCCAGTCATTGATTTTGTGCTTAGCAACAGAGTTGTTGGTCCTAATTGTTGTTAATCAAGGAATAACTGCATTATGAAACAATAGAAATGTTAAATGGAAGCCATCTATTGTCAACACTTAAAAATCTTTGGTATCACAAAATGTTCAGGGTACGAATCACTAATGTTAATCTGCATTTCTTAACCCCCTTTTCTTTTGCTGATTTGTGTGTGGATTTATTTAACAGAACCAAATGGGGTGGTAAAACAACATGTGGGAACACTCTTTAATATCTGAATATTTATTGATATCTCTGAACATTCCATTTGAGTGAAGGGACAATGGGTCCAAGAAAACATTTTATTTTGGAAGAAACAGATTTCCCTCAAATAGCACACAAGATTTCTCTCTTACTTTACTCAACTAAATGAAACCTAAAAAGAGTTGGAGATGCAACCCCTTTCATATACGGTTATACAAATAAAAATAAACATATGATTAAATGGCATGATTTAAACATACATTTGAATGGTTCATGTGGTGGGTGCATATATGGGGCATTTTGTATGTAATAACAGTGTAGAACTAGAAAAACAATGATGTATTGACAAGAGTATTTTAGTACATAGTACCTTTCTAAAGAATTGTTTTTTGGGAGGGAGGTTTATCCTATATTGACTTTGTTTCCCAAATACTTTGCTTGCCTCCCAATATCTTTTCTGAGCTTTATCAACATTGCATGGCCTTCTAAGTTCTTTTTATCACTGAACTAGCATAGCCTATTGTTTGGGAAGGTAATTTAGGGAGAGGAATGTTTTGCTTGTCCTAACCAACGCCATGTTTTCTCCTACATTACACAAAAGAATAATTCTGTTGCGTGACACAAGAAAATGACCAATGGGGATACAGATTAGTATATTATATGAATAAGGAAAATGGATTAGTCAATTCTCAAATTTATTTAGATCTAAAAGCCCTTAATTTTTTTGCTGCTAATTTCCACAATTACCACATAAAAAATAATAATAATAGGGAATTCAATTCCTCTGTCTTCCTTGGTAAGATCCTATTTTATCTATCAGGCACTAGGAAATCCAAACAACCCTATAGGAATTTATCAAGATCTGTAAGATTTTACCGGAGACCATCTTAATTGGTCCTTCTACCTGTAGAGGTCTTAGGCTGCAACCATGTCAAAGTACTCAAAATAATAATTTCATGTTCAGATCACACAGCAGCTGCTCTGAGACACAGCTGACACTGAGGCTGCTGTTTGACCTGAAACTTAGCACAGCAAATCTCTGTGGCCCGCACTTTTATTCCGTTTCAACTACGTTTCAGTAATATGTAAAACAAGTTTATCTGCAAATAAACATCGTCATGTAAACTATAGTAATTATGATGGGATTCTGGTTCACAGGAAGAATTTGCTCTCACAAAGCCAACCATTATTTTAAACAATCCAAAACCGATTCTACCCCAAAGCACTTTATAATTATGGAACTAAACATAAAATACAGTAAACTGCCTCCTGCAATGAGTCCTCCTGTATAAATAAGTTCGATTTAACTTAGGGGTGTGTGCCCTTACCGGCGCCATTAGTAACTTTTCTTCAGCGACCGAGTTGAAATGGGATGTGGGGTCATCATCCTTAAAGTGTCAGACTGAGGTGATTAATTCTGTTCAAGATGAATCCTTGTGGAACGCCAAAGCTTCAGGGAAACCGCGACCTCTGTTAGGATAGACCAGAGGAGAGCGGAGCTATTTTGGGAGTTCAGGACTGGGCAAAGATGAGAGACCCGCTATATTTTTTGCTTTCCACATGTAGGGCTCAGTGACTGAGATACTCCCGGATTGCCACCTTAGCACAAAGGCAGTGTTCCCGCTGTTCCTTCCTAGTGAACTCGTGTAAAAGCCCCCTTCACAAGAGGGAGTTTAAAGTGGAATGAGAGAAACACTGGATAAATGGGGATTATTTATCTATACGGCTGTACGGTATTCCTAAAGGTGGTTATAGGGAGGAGCTCCCACCGAAATAAGTAAGGCCTGTCTTTAAATAAACATGTCCGCATCCGGCTACCAAAAGGCCTCACTTGCCCTTTTCCACCATCACAAAAACTGCTCCCGTCCTCCCATAGGGAGGCAAAGGCCTTCCACATTCTAGAAGAAGCCGCGGCTGAGCAAAAGGAAAAAAAGGAGGGAGGAAGAAGTAGCGGGTGAATATTTCATTGGACGGTCGCCCAAGTCTAGCTCCGCCCTCTTTAACTCAGAGCTTCTCTCCGAGACGAAGTCGACCCCGCGAACTGAAAGCCAGTAAAAATCGGTTGCTGGGCAAGGTGGGGCGTGGCTGGCCAATAGCTAGGAGGGCTCGAGAAGGACGAGGAAGAGTGGGCGCACACACGCCCCTCCTTCATCGGAGTCCAGGGCTATTCCTGCACGGGGGAGGAGTAACGGCTCTTGTCGCCGAAATCTGGTGGGGAGGGGGTGGGGCTCATTTGCTGCTGCCACCGCCCTCTCCTCCTCCTCTCCCCCCGCCTCCTCCTCCTCTTCCTCTTTCCTCATCTCAGCACGCAAGCATTTGGCCATCCCTAAGCAGGGATCCCGGCTGGCTGGGTTGGGAGCCAGCGCCGCGCCGCCCAGCCAAGGGAGAGGGGATCCCGTGTGTCCCTCGACTCTCTCTGGAGCCCTAGCAGGTAAGCGAGACCCTGGCTGGCTGGACTCGGTTCTAGATCGCGGGAACGGGCGTCCCGGAAGGTGGGAGAAGCCAAGTGCGGGCTGGTGGCGGTGGTGCAGGTCGAGGAAGGAGTGTGCTGGGCTAAATTGAGAGATGGAGGTCAGGAGTTACAACTAAAAGAGATCTCTATTTGGGTATTTCGACGAGTTGGTAAGGAAATAGGGGCTGGCGAATGTGGCGGGGAAAACTTATGATTGCGGGTATCTCGGCCAGAAAACTTAAGAATTGGGGGCCTGGGAGGGGTACCTTACAAACGACGATGTGAATCATCTGGGAGAAGCTTGCTTGGGTAAGGAAATAAACAGATCGTCCCGTTTCCTCCCCCCCCCGTCCCCCCATATATACACAGGCACCGTCTCCGTCTAACGAGCTGGGGTATTTTTTTTTCATAAACATTTTTCAGATGTTTGGAATTAATAATTGCCATCTTTTGATTGCGATAATAGGGGTTGTAGATCACATTTGGAGGGGTCGGATTTAGGGAAGGAACAGTTACTGTATATAAGGAAGACTGGGAGAGGTCTTGGACAAAATGATGGATAAGAGGTGGGTATCAGACTGAGATTCACAAAAGCTGCCAATAAGAGGAAATTAAGGTTGGGGTGGGGAGGGTGTCAAAAGAGTCTGCAGTTAAAAGAGGAGAAAAAGCCAAGTAGAATTTGCAGAATTGAGGAGCCCACTGAAGAGATGGCAAGGAAGAAACTGCTGGTGCTCTGGGTAGTATAGGAATATGAGGAACAATTTTGTGGCAGGCTTGTGGGGCTGAATGAAGGCTTTAGGAAAAGTGGGTGGGGCATGATTTATTTCATAGATTTATTTGACTGAAAGCAGTAGAGAATCAGCTGAGGTTTGTTTCTGAAAAGTGATGCTTTGGTTTAGCTATTTAGGATCTTGTATAAAAGATATATAGATAATATATGTTACTTTTGAGGCCTTTCTTTAACCATTGAGTGTTAGGAATACAATATGAAGGGGGTTGGAAGCTGAATCCAGCAATGGGAGAAAGGTACTTCACAAATATTCTGTTGCGATGTTTGGAGGGGCATATCTTGACAAAGAAATTGAGTTTAGATCAGAAGTCCCCAACCTTTTGGGCACCAGGGACTGGTTATATGGAGAGAGGTTTTTCCACTGACCAGAGTGGGCGTGGTTTTGTGTGCTGCCTGTATCCATCGGATGGGGCTTTGCTTGTTTGTGCAGCCCAGTTGCTGGCATGCCACAGCTCGGTGCTGGTCCACGGTCCGGGGGTTAGGGACCCCTAGTTTAGATAGTATAAGATTGGTTAAAAACAGGAAAAAAAGTTAATGCCAGGAAATAAATTTTGAGCTGTATAAGAGGTGGGGTCTCCTTCAATGTGAGCTTTAACCAGAGAGCTATAACTGGTATTCTCTGACAGTCTCCAAGTATTAACCTAATCACATCCAGCATAACTTCCAAACTTATGCAACTGAGAATAAAGTTGTATTCAGGTGCTTTGAAACAGCCTGCTGGTTTCTTTGTGGGTGAATGATAAAATACTAATGTTCCTATTATTCTTATTTTGTATTTTGGAGGTGGCTGCTTTAAATCCTGCTTTTGACAGAAAAGTAGAATTTAAAATAATACACAAAATATGCAAAAAGTTTCTATATACTTGAGTATTTAGGAACACTTAATATTTTTGTTGCTCTGAAGAAGTGATCACACAAATGGGAATTCAGAGTTTATGAGATCTGTATTTCAAAATGAGGAAGGATGTATTGACCAGTATGTAAAAACTGGTTAAAAATCTAAATTCTGTGTATTTGAAGAGAATTGCATTTAAAATAGAAGTTTAGTACTATAAGATACATTAAATTCAGTTATTAAAAGAAATTGTGGGAGGATTAGGTACAGAATAGAAACTGACTAGAAAGCATATGTGGAAATTATTTGAGACTAGAACATTGACCATATGAATGAAAAAAACAGTGAAGTGCTCCTCAAGAATGGTCAAATCGGAGACAGAAAATGTCAATAGGAAAACGTGCTTAGGTTAAAGAAATGGGGAAGTGCATTGGAAGAATGAAAGATTGTTAAAAGGATTCCATGGCACAGAATATTTACAGATCTCTTCAAGCTGTCAGAAGCATAGGAGAATGTTTTAGAACAGGGGTGCCAAACTGCCGGCCCATGGGCTGGATGCGTCATCCAGAAGCCACACCCACCCCATTGCCGGCAATGGCAAAACCGTTCCGATACATTGTGTCGCGAGTTTGACATGTCTGTTTTAGAAGGCAAGAATAGAAATGCCAACATAAGTTATACATTGGAATACTTTTATAAAGAGACTCATCTTTAGCTGAAAACTATCTTGTCATTAATTTTAAGGTGGGCCTAGCTATGATATGGGCTGAAATAAAACTGTATATAATTGGATGAAGGATTTAGTAAGAAGTTTGCTATCAACAGAAGTTTTAAGGAGAAATGTTTTCATTTAAGAAATGAGGTGGTTTGAATAAGTTTGCAAATTTGTTGGTACAGAGGTGTAGTTTTATCCTTACAAGCAGAATTGTAATGAGGTTGTTTTGTTATAGTTGTTGGTCTGGAGTGGGGAATTATTTTTCATCATCCAGAAAACAACAGTCCTGTAAACTAAAACTTGATATTGTGGGAGGTGCATGCAACAGTTTCCAGGAACTTCTGTCTAGTTTCATTTTGAATACATTGCCCTTTGTGTCTTAACTCTTAATACAAAATGAAATGCAGAAAGAGGAGAATTTCACACTGCTTTGGATCCTTATTTCAACAGTTAGAAACAGTTCATTAATGCTAAATTTAAAATAATGCATTAAGAACAACTGCTTTAAGTTTGTATTACACTTCTTAAAATTTCTTGAGTTTTCTACAATAAGCAATACCTGACATTAATCATTTATATTCTTTGTCTATTTGCTGGTAGCAAACATTACTGGCAATTTCTAATAGCAATTCATGACACATATTTCTGGCCTGTAGCATTTGTTTTACTCATAGAGCGTTACGATTGATAAAAAATTAGATTCCAAATTAAAGATTCTCAAAAAAAGTAAAGCAAACAATAAATTCTGAAAATATTTCCTATGTAACTCTTATAGCATCTTATGCAGTACAGAATTTTGGAGACATTTGCTGTATTTTTGAAGGGGAGGATCCATGTATAGGGAATAAATCAGTGCTGTATTTTTTATTTTGGCTTCAGTGTGGTTTTGTAGAGGGGTTTGCATGATGCCCAAGTGTGAGATTTTATAAACTTAAAACCATATCAACTTAATCTAAGACATTTCAACTGTGCTATTAGAGCTTTTTTTCCCTGTTGCAACCTTCACATGTGATGAATAGCAATGGTGGTACTTATCTACTAGGGAACATTGATGTATAATTGTTTGCTATACTATATAGCTATCAATTATTAAATACACTTATTTGTAAGGTGTTACAAATATACACAAGACAATAAATTTGAATTAGAATATTCTTCTTAGCCACAATTTATTTTTAGGATTAATCTGTCTAAAATTCTGTCACAATAACCAAATACCGGTATTTGTTAAATTTTTATTCAAAATTGCATCATTTGACTGAAAAGGTTTGTTGACTTATCAGAAGTGTGTTTAAAAAATATTTTGGACAAACTCTGCATCATATCTGAACTATTCTGGCTGAAACTTTATTAAGTTTAAGGCTTCATTGTTTTTCAAAATGCAGTTTCTTAAGATTGCTTAATGGTTTCACAGGATTGCTTCCTTAGTAATTGTAATAGATAGAACTAGAATTTTAATCTACTATTCCTCTATTCTTCCTCTCATACAAACTTCCTCTCCATCAGCCACTCCACCACTGCTATCTTACTTCTTTCAGATAGAAGTATGACTTGGGAAAAGGTAGCACAATCTCTTTGTACTAATAAAGGAGAATATTTGTAGCTCAGGGTTGAAATGAAGGGTCCTTGGTGCTCTCTCTGACCTTGGTTGTTTTCTTGCAGACATTTCAATACCCAAACTAGGTAACATTACCAGTGCTAGTCTAGCACTGGTGATGTTACCTACCTTGGGTTAATGAAATATTTGCAAGAAAACAACCGAGCTCAGAGAGCACCAAAGAACCCATAAATTTTTATGTAAAAGGAACATCTTCTGCGTGACTTTAACATAAGATGTAAGAACAAGCACTAAGTGCTTGTTTCCTCATTTTAACATAATGGTACCAAAATATTTCATTATTCAAATTGACAGATATACTATTTTATTAGCCAACAAATTCAGGCAGAGAAAAAGAGAACAAGATTGGAAAATGGAGCATAACCCCAAACCAATTATAGCTTTGTACTGTTAATGTAGTGATACTGAATATAGTTGGCTATTTTTAACTTCTCATTAAAGCTTTAGTTGATTTATATATTAAAGCAACTAGTGTTCATTTTGAAAACTAAAAACTATAAAGTTATTAAAAAAAACAAAGTTTCCAGTCCTCTCCTGTTGCTGTACTTTCATAGTTCTCTAAGGAGGCAGACATGTCAAACTTGCGACATCACATGATGTCACACAACGTATTGGGACCGTTTTGCCATTGCTGGCATTGGGGTGGGCGCGGCTTCTGTGTGACATGTCCGGCCCACGGGCCGGCAGTTTGACACCCCTGCTCTACAGGTAGTTGTTATTTACAAGCACAGTTGGGACTGAAGATTGTAAAATCAGGTGTGATGCAGTTTTACGACTTTGTTGCTGCTGTCATTAAGCAAATCCAGCTTCCTCCATTCATTTGCTTGTTGGCAGCTCCCTAGGAAGGTGATAAATGATGATCACAGGACCCTGGGACACTGCAACTGTTGTAAATACATTTTGATCATATGACTGCAGGGACACTGTGACAGTCGTAAGTGTGAGTAGTGGTCAAATGTCACACATTTCAGCACCATTATAATTCCAAATGGTTGTTAAATGTACACAACTCAAGGGCTAC